TGTTTAAGTTTGGTTGAACCTTGTTTCATGCTAGACCTATTTGAATGTTTTGAGACTTATGAATTTAAGGGATAATTTTATATCGTTAGTCCGAGCATGTGTAGGTTCTTTCGTTTGATGGATGTGTTTATCTGATGTCATTAGCAAGTAGCGCCCGTTTCTCGATAAATGTTTTAACTTGGATTTTTGAAAAAAAAAAACTCTGATTTTTATTAATTAATTCGATAAATTCTTTAAAATAAAACGGGGCGTTACAGAATGTTTAAATGAAATGGATTGATTGGGAATATGATGATTTTCAATGTTGTTTAGTTTAATATACTAATTTTTATAATATTGTGATTTGAAAATTAGCACTTTTTTGTTTTTTTAATTTACCTCTCCTTTCGTGTCTAAACGGTGGTCTTCTATTTGATGCTCGTTTTAAAAGATGGTGCTATAAACATGTTTAAGTCTGGAAAAGTTGAATAATTATGCTTACTTAAGATGTAGGTTAGTCGAGAATTCTAGATTAAGAACATGGCAATGAGAACCATTGAAAAGAGAAGGAAGTATGATGATTTGTGCATGTTTTTATGATCTAAGATTATGATTATGTGATTGATATTAAGTTGTAGAAATTTATGTGATTTGGTTCATATTTAAAAATATGAAAAGCATGTTTAAAAGTTCAGTTTAAGTTGCCCTTGTAGGGATTTAAATTGTTGAAGTTTCGTTATGATTAGCATGTAAATTCGCTGGTTTCTATCCATTTGTTCATGAGCTATATATTTTGACCTTCAATATCGTGTTTCTTGCCATTGCACTCTGCATATGAGTTGTAGTTCATTCATTTGGCTTTCTGGGAGTTCAAGAATCTTGCAAAAACCGTTCGTATTTTGGGAGATATGATCGTTTTAAAATCAGTGTGCTAGCAGTTTTCTGAAAAATCTGGAAGCATGTAGTTGTTTATGTTTGGTCTCTTTGCTATGTTCTAACTTGCACAAATGAACTTGTAGTCTTAATGAAGAATGTAGGGTTGTCTCTTAGCTTTCTATATGTGTAAGAATAAGACAATGCATGAGCTTATTTATTCCATGAAGATTTTAGACGCTATATATGAAGCATACTTTATGCTTTGATTCATGATCAAGTTTATTTATGAGAAGTATGGTAAATGAGTATGCAACGAGTTATGTGATGTTATGATAAGTTTACGAGGCTAATGCAAATTTAAAGTAATAGCGCCCTTGAGCTTTTAAATATTTTTAAGAAAAAGAAAACATTATTCGCGAATTTCAAGGTATGAAAAACGTTACACTAACTAAAAACGTTGTATTTAAAGAAATTTTATGTAATCACCTCTTTGAATTAAATTTTGGGTAATTTACATATGTACTTAACTGATTGCTAAATAATTGTAAAAATACCAAACCAAAAATTTATTTGCACATATACCTAATGTAACATAAACATTTGAATAAATTCTACATATTAAAAACATTCTCTCTCCTCTCTCATTTATCTACTCCTAACAATTTTCCTTAACTACCTATTCATCCATTTTTTTTCTCTCTCTTCTCCATTATTTTCTCTCTCTCTTTCCTCTCTCCTCTCTTCTCTCTCTTATCTTTATTTCATTCCCTTTAAATGTTAATAATCTCTCCATGTAAAAATAAACTAGTACAAGACTAAATAAATTATGAAAAAACAATAAGTAATCAGAATCACATTTATTTTTCACGGTGGTTTTCGGAAAACATATAAGTCCAAAAAATGTACAAAATAACCTATTAATTTTATTTTTTTGTATTNAATTTTATTTTTTCGTATTTTTTTTTGTTTCACGATCAGTCTTATATACAGAAGATATACTCATTATATACTCAACATATACCTATGATATATTCACTGATTATAAAAGAAAAATATACTAAAATTCAGAAGATATACTCATTATATACTCAACATATACCTATGATATATTCACTGATATAAAAGAAACATATACTAAATAATAGTATATTTGTCGGGAACATATACAGAACATATACTAATTGAATACATAGGATATAAAAAATACACAACAGATATACAGAAGATAAATCAATCTTGTCATTATATACAAAATATATAATGAATATATACGAAAAAAAGGTATTAGGGGCTAGGTTTAATTTTGATAAACATAAACTATTAACATAGTAAACTATTAACAAACATCAAATATACATTTGAAATCTTCTTAAATATAAAGAAATCAAAATATGTACGATCCACAAATCAAACAAATCCACTTCAAAGTCAAGTTTTGAGCTACAGGATTGCCAAAACATTAATAGGTTGCTGGCGAGCCTTCTTACCATCGGATCCAAAATTCCAACATCCAGTTGCCGTCTTTGCTTATTCTTAGTCTTCTACGCACACCACCAAAATTTTGTCTTTTAAAATTACCCATCAACCTACCAAATTTCAATTTCAAAAATCAATTCATTTTTTCTGCTCTATGGCCGACGGCGAATTGGCGGTCACGGGACGGCGTTGGTATGCGGTCGAAGGGTCTCCGGCTTCAAACAGTGGCAAGTGGCGCGACCTGACAGCGGTATTGGATGATGGTCCGTCTGATTGGTCGACTGCTTGGCTGGTTTGAATGAGATCTGCTTGTTGGTGGCATCTGACCAGATCTGCTCCAACTTTGAAAAGACCCGAGCGCTCGTTGTAGCGGTAGTGGCTTAGTACTCTTTAATTTGCGGCTAATTTTAAATTTTAATGATGATAATTTTTTATGGCTAGAGAATGATATGAGAAGATGGTGAGAAACTGGAAGAATGGGAAGATGGGGGAGTACGAGAAAAGAAAGGAAAGAAATAAGGAAAAAAGATAAGAGATAAAGAATCATATAATTGCAAAAATATAAAGATATTCGTATAGATGCAAATAAAAATTAGGGTTTGTGTATGTGTAAATAAAATTAGGGTTTTTTAAAGGCTTTTTCTTTTGTAGCCCGCATTTATTTGCACAGGCAACCGTAGTATTTTTGTAACTTTAATTTAGCGAGGAAAGTTTAAATGAAATGGATCAATTGAGAAGATGATGATTTTCAATGTTGTTTAGTTTAATATACTAATTTTTATAATATTGTGATTTGAAAATTAGCACTTTTTTGTTTTTTTAATTTACCTCTCTTTTCGTGTCTAAACGGTGGTCTTCTATTTGATTTTCGTTACTTGTGTTATTGATTTATAGTAATATTATTTAATTGGGTTGCGATTTTTTTGTGACAATAACATTGAATTTAATTTTGTGGTAATTGGCACATAAAACAATAATTTACCATTAATTGAAAAATTCATTCACAAACTCAAAAAAAATATTTTCAATACTATATGCACATATTTTACTACGAATTAAACCATACTATAATTTAAAATTCGATTAGGAAACTCTGTAATAAAATCAATTATAAAGATTATCTACGTAAAAAAAAAAAGAAAAAAAAATTGGAGATTATAATTTTACTACAAATAATTTTATTTTTAATAATTTTTTTTTTATTTTTTCAATTTCAACCTATATTAATGTGGCTATCTAAAATACGGGCATGTATTGACGCCACTCACAAGAAATATTACAGAGATGAAAGTGAATAATGTTATTAGGATACTAACTAAGCAAACTCTAATTTTATATTGATTAGGAAAGTAAATAAATATCTATACGCGTCATGAAGCGAAATTTTGAAGGTCGTTGTTGACTAGTATTAGAGTTAGACGTCATGTAGGCTACCTAAGACCTACTCCAACCAATACCGAAAACGCAAAAAATGGGATAAAATTTCTTCAACCGAACTGCAAAATGAAACGCAAAATGGGTTTGTGGCTTTCTCTCTCATCTCTCAAACGCATATATGCGTTCACTGCAAAAAAATGCGTATGACCTTTTTTATTTGCACTCAAGTCCAATTTTACAACTTCCATGACATATTGACCATGATTAAAAAAAAATAAAAAATCATACCTCCAATTTATATATTTTCTGTTCATCACTTTGCATTTTTGTACATATTGTGAAAAAACTAAAAAAATAAAAAATGTATTTTTCTCAATTAATGTGCATTTTGTGTTATGAATATGAATATTATTTATGTTAATATAATTTGAAATTGATGTTTTGCATTTTAGTATACATGAAAAAGCCGGAAAAATCAATAGTAGTGTTATGAATATGTAAGTTAAGTTAGGTTAATATAATTAGTTAATGTTTTTATTTTAATGGTAACAATAATAAAATAACATTATTAATCTATAATAGATTTTATATGGAGTATGTTACGTATGGATAATAAATTAATCTAGCCAATGTGAAAATATTTGCAAAATCTATATATAACAATCATACCGAGTTTTATAATAAATTTATTAACATTATGGTAATTTTTTTAAGTTTAAAACAAGAAAATAGTATTTTTTTTCTCTTATTTTAACATGTATTTTATTATTTTTTGTGTATGAATTGTTAAGTTATAATTAATTTATTATTTTTCTATAAAAGGTATAAAATAATAAAATATTATGACTATTAATTATTAACCTATAATTAAAGTATTATACTTTTTTCCATGGAATATAAAGTAATAATGATTCTAATTTATAAATTTGTACAATATGTGGGTAGTATTGAAAAGTTGTAAAACTATATGTGAAAGAGAATATTCCCATAATATTCTTTTGAGTTTGAAAATGAGTTTTTCGGTTGGAGATGAATTACTGCAAAATGTGACAGTTACTGCAAAATGATTTTGAGTATGGGATTTTCGGTTGGAGATGGCCTAATTAACATGAATAAAGGAAATATATGGCATGACTCCTTTTTGAGTTAGGCTACTTAATTCATATATATAAGAGAGACTTGGGTTGTGTCCTCCCTCTTCAACCTACCGCGCGCTCTTAACATTATTTCCTCTCACAATCAATTTTTAGTGATATTCTATCTTCATCAAATTACGTAGAGCGATCTTATCAATGGAAGTGGGAAACGAAGATAGATCGATGGCCGAGGCGCATCTGGGGAATAAAAAGGCAGCCCTTTGGTACTTGGCGTCCCTATCGTCTTTCTTTGCTGTGTGTGTGTTCATCTTACGAATCTTTGTGAAGCACCATATGTGGTCCAAGGATGATAAAGACACGGTTCGCGTGGTTCTATACTATTCCACATTTCTCTACGTCATCTTCGTAACACTCATAACTGTGATTCGTGAATCCCGTGAAAAGAAGTGGCATGTGGGGAGGCTGGGCCGTTGGAGCAAGAAGGTGGCCGACGTGTTGCTCGTCCTCATGGGATTGGGGATCAGTTATTATGCCCGCGGGGACGCGTTGTGGGTCTCCTTGGTCCAAGGGCTTGTTCCTATCAACGTCATGGCCACCTTCAATTTGTTTGGGGATTTCGTCAATTTCGGGTTTCGTGATTGCTGTTTGGTCGTGTTGGTTGATGCGGCGTTGGCGCTGTCGTTCAGGTACCCCATGTGGGCCCCGTTCATAGTTGCCATCGTCTCTCTTGCTTTTCAAGCCGTCAAGGAGTATGGCGATATCCCGTTGAATAGGCCTCCTCATCCCGATCATCATTCTCATTCGGAGAGCGGTCAAGAAGCATGTTGACCGATATTTGCTTTTTT